TGGTCATCTCAGATGTATCAGATTATTATCCTCAACTTTAGAACTAATTTATCCTTGAGGTAAACTCCCCAGAGCCTTCTGTATCTATTTTTATAGCTGATCTAGATATCACTATGGCAGAACTAACACTTATAATTAGAGCTAACTATTAAACCACTATGCTCTTGTAGAGTTCACTTAGACCCCAGCATCTACTTTACAGCATAACTCTGGTACTTTAGTATACACCTGCCTTTTTCCCTGCCCTTTTACCAAACTCCCAATCCAGATAGCCCATATAAGACTATGACCAGTCCATCAGTATATCAGATCAGTCTGATATCTTTTTCTTCTGATTCGTTCTAGCAGCCTAGTTGGTGGTACCTCCAAGACTCCCAACTAAAGTGTTTAGAATTATGATGCTGCATAATATGCACATAATTTGGCCCATATCACATATGAATAAGTTAATAAATGAATCAATAGAATCACAAGTAAAGAATTATAATAGTATAAAAACCTTTATTTGACTTGCCTTCTTTGTTTTTTTGTTGAATAGTTCAATAAGAATAGCTGTATATAAGGGATAGAGAATTATACTAAAAAGGTGTATATGGCTAAAGTTCAATAACAGTATAATAAAAAAAAAGAAGAGTTAATAAGAACTTTTGATTTTGTTCTTTTTTTTATTTGTAAAATTTGTTATAAATAAAAGGTCAAATTTCTTTTGTAAAATTATTTCCTTATGTATGTAATTTGCTTCTTATACAACTAATAATTAATAAAAGTCTATAAGTAAAAAATTATAATACTCTTTAAGTCTATCAAATTTTCCCAGTTATAATAATACTCAACTATCATTGTAGACTGTACCAAATTGATTCTCTCTCTAAACCATTGAGTAATCTTATATATCTCTTTATTTTAGTGTATATAGGTTGACCATTTGGTTCACAACAATATAAATATTTAAATAGAACTAAGATTACTGTTAATTTGATCTTATATATAATAAGATTATTTGATGCTAAACATGCCCAAGCAAGTGAATACAAAAATGAATTCTATGCTGATGGTGGCAAACTTTTTTGTCATGTTTGTAAAATTACTATTGATCATACCTGCAAGTTAATTATTGATAACCATCGTATATCAAAAAAACACCAATCAAATTTAAAACTTAAAAACACTACTTCACAAAAATCACATCAAATTACTATTACCTCATGTCATAAAGTATTAAGTGAACATAAACAAATTAATGTTGACTTAATAAATACTTTAACTGCAGCTAACATTCCATTAGAAAAAGTAGAAAAACTAAAGACTTTGTTTTTAAATAAATACTGTAATCAAGGTTAATAAATTTAAAGTTAAAGTTTAAAATCAGTTTTATTTTTATATATTAAAAAATAGATTTTAATATATAAAAATAAAGCTAATTCTTATATTTTAAAGTTAAATTAAATTAAAGTTTAATTATAAAATAAATATCTTAATTAAATATATATTTAATAGGCAGTAGTATTGTTGGTTCTTGTCAATTAAGAAATAAATATCTTCTGTTAGCCTTTTTACAAGCTAAACAAAATTTACTTCAAGAGCTTACAAATCAATATGTTTTTATTACAGTGGATGAGACAACTATATGTGGCAAAAATATTATTAATATGTTGTTTAGTTTTGAAAACAAAACTAAGCTTGTTCAAACTTCTTACTTAACTCAAGTTAATAGTAATATAATTTCCTGTTTTGTTATAGATGCACTTTATTTATATAATATTTCATTTGATAATACTATTTTTTTTATTTCAGATAATGTCTCATATATGAAAAAGGCTTTTAATATTCTTTCTCCTTTAATTCCTCACTTAAAACATAATGGTTGCTTAGTACACATTTATAACTTAGTAGGTGAAGAATGGATTACTTATAATAATTTTAAAGAATTAAACAATATAGTTAATAATATTAAAAAAATATTTTCTTATTCTTCATCACATAAAAGAAAGTGGCTTGAATTTTTAACATTAAATTCTAAATCAGATCCAAATTTACCTCCTATTGAAAATCCAATTGATTTAGAAAATTTAAATATACCAAATACTATTCGTTCTATTCTTCCACCTCTTTCGATTAAAACTAGATGGAATACTTGGTTCTGATTTATTTTTTGGTTAAATTCTTACTTTGATATTTTTGCAGATTTTATTTCTAATGAAGTAAATTTAGTGGACAACAAATCAAGCAATGCACTTAATGAATTAAATAGGTCATTTCAAGATCAGGATCATATATTTTTTTAAAAAATAATTGCAATATTTATAACTTATAATGCACAATCATATGTATATATATTTAATATTACTTACTTTATTAATATTTATATAAAAATTATTAATAAAGTATATTAGCTTTTAATCTTTTATTAGAAAATGTTAGCAAGAAAAAACTTACAAATTTTATTTGATAAAAATTTACAAGTTTTTTCTTGATAATATAATTAAATTATATTGGTATAATATTAAATATTTAATTTATAAGCTTGTAAATAATTTGGAATTTTTTAAAATCTGAAACAAACCTGTTGTCTCATATGTTGCCTCTCGAATTAAACAAACCCAAGCATTTTTACAAGCAGGAACAATTAATCTACCTTTAAGTACTCAAATAAAACATGAATTTAATATTAAAAATATAAATACAGAATTGTACAAAGTTATGTTTTAGGAAGCTTTTAGATTAGTATTAAACAAGTTTAATAAGCATATTACAGAGCATTCAGCACTTAAACTGTTTAAGACTATTCTGTATTTTGAACCTTGATAGATTCAACAACAAACTACTAAAAAAAATCTTACTTTATATTTAGAAATTCCAGAATTTAATAAACCAAATAATATATTAATTAATGAATAAGGAATATATTGTGGTGGAAATGAAATTTTTGAAGAAAATTTTGATTTAGAAAAATATTAGTTAGAAAAAGCTTATATTTTACCTCATTTAAGTAAAATAGCTTTAAAATATATTTGGGTTCCAATTTCTGATATTGATGTAAAATATAGTTTTTCAGTATACAAAAATATTTTATTAGATAGACAACATGCACTTTCATCTAAAACAATTGAGATGTTAAATATGTTATATTTTAATCAAATTGATGATTAATAATAATAAAATATAAATATGTAGCAAAAATATATTTTTTATATAATTTGTAATATAATGCATAATTATAAGCATAATTTAAGTAAAAAATTCGTATAATTTGCATAATTTGTAATTTGATACATGCATAATTTGACTTAAATTGTAGCATGATTCTAGATACTCTACTCTCAACCCAGAGGTTCTTGCCTATCCAGCTACTAGGACCGAGTACTAGACCTTGGTATCCATTTCTTCAGGCTAGTCTTTATAATAGAACTGTCAAAGATCTAGCTACCACTTTACTTGGATCTTTCCAAATAGACTTCTTGTTATCTAATTTCAACAGATTTACATGGCCACAAGGACTTATCTAGTGTTTGCACTACCCGATATGTCAGTTTGCATTCTTCTGTATAACTTCAATATTGCACAGATGCCCTATGACCTGCCAGTCATGCTGGTGCAATCGCCATTACAGGTATCTTAACCCAATCATTAGTAACAGTTGCTGTAATATGAATATTACATAGGTGATTATCTAAATTTT